AAATTAACCATCTGCACAACAAACCACGTCTCACAGTTTTACAGAAAAGCTTTTTTTTCTTTGCCTTTGAAAGAAACTGGCGTCCAACAGTTTATTATCTGAGTCTGACTGACATGTTTGGTGACAAGCCAGCGTTACTTTTCACACTGTAAAAAACCCAGCAAGTATGTTTGATGACTGCAGTGACTCAAGACCCTTTCAGAACCCCAAACAGAAGCAAAGCTGTGCGATAAGGACACCGCTCAACACTGCAGAACGCTACCTGCTCGACAGCGGCCCCTGTGCGTAAGCTGCTGGGGTAACCCTGATATTTGCATCACCTGCAAGTATGATCTACTGTTTTATTCACCTGCTTTACTACACATTTAAATAAACAGTGCCGAGCTTTTAAGTCAGTTGCATCTTTGTCTCTTCAGGTGGAAACATACAGAGTTTTCTTCCGAAAACATGATTTTTCTAGTGAGTAAAATAGAAGTGCACACTCAAACTCTAGCTGTAGTGAAGAAAATACAAACAGATTTAGAAATCTCAAAATTAGCTTGTTGGCAAGGATCTGGGTTTTTGATGTCTGGTAGCATTTTCCTCCTGCCTCTCACAGTAACTTGTTCCTTCTTCCTGTATGTGGAAGACACATTAAAGTTTCTAACAATGTGCAACGCAAATCTGGGAGGAGTAGGTTGTTGTGTTTTGTTGGCTGGTGTAACAGTTCATTCCCCTGACAGCCAGCTTTTCAGCATGACCTCAGCACACTGATCTCACTTCAGAGAACTGACACTTAAAGCCACAAAACCTCTGTTGCTCTACAACATCTACCCTGACAGGAGGGAAAAGAGCAAGTCTCCTGAAGAAAGCCAGAAGAGGGAAGGATCCTAGAGATGAGTTACATAGAAACCACAGCAAAAAAAAAAAGTCAAGATGCAAATTAATTTGTTTCATTAATTCCCTAAGTTTCATCAAAATCTTCAGGTTAACCATCTATTTCATAGAATAGAATCATTTAGGTTGTAAAAGACCTTTAAGATCGAGTCCAACTGTAAACCTAACACTGCCAAGTCCTACCAAACCATGTCCCCAAGCACCACATCTACATGTCTTTTAAATAGCTCCAGAGATTCAACCACTTTCCTAGGCAGCCAAGGATATTGCCTGACAATGTCTTTTCTCTTTTCAATATTCCCCATTTTATGAAAATGTCACTGTTCTACTGGAAGTCTGAAGAAACTCTCACCATACCAAACCCGTTGGTCTCCCTCCATATGAGCTCCATGTATACATGTTCCATATCAAATATTCTTAAAACCCCAGCTTACCTAAACTCGCTCGCTGCAGAGTTCTCCAAGGGTTAGTGAAGAGAGAAAACAATAGTGGATTCCTTAGCTGTCACAGCAGTACCCAAGCATAAGAACAGGAATACTACACTATGGCAATGATTTCCAGTTCCTAAGTTTGTACCTCAATTTCATCATTGTTTCTGATCAACTCACCGATCGTCATTTCCACTACAGGCACCGTACAGCTCACTTCATAAAGGCCATGACATTAGGTGTCTTCAGCCAACAACATGGGAAGTGTCTGACACCACAACAGGGACCAAAGCATCATCAGCTGGTTTTCACCCTCAACTTCATACTTGTCTAAGTAGACAAAGGTATTTGTCAGCCTACGCAGCTACAGATCTTCAAACACAGCAGCACAAAACCCAACACGAGATGGTTAAGCCTTTCTTGTGCTGAAAACTGCTGGCATCAAAAAGCAAAGTCCTTGCATCAAAGTGTTCTTTTTTTTTTTTTTAACTCACTAACATTTTAACAAGGATTTAAAGAAAAAAAAAAAACACCACACACCAGGAAAAACTCCTCCACCCACATGCCTAAGTGAGCTGACATTATGTAAGAGGAACAAACGAATGGTATTTAGACCTTCGGCAAGCGGGTTTACAGACAAGCTGTTGGTGAAATCCAACCACAGACAATCAATATACGCAAGTATCTGTTCATCTCCAACACCGTTTAATGACTGCGGCATGCAGGCAGCCAGAAGCTTGCCCTGTTCAGCACGGCACAGCCTCTAGAGAGCTGGGGGCTGCTGCAAGTGAAGAAAGTAGGCTCACCCGTGCTTGAAGAGTTACGCTGGGTACCAGGCTGTCTGAGCCTGTCCAGCTAAGTCTCACTTCATTCTCAACTAACTCTCCAAAGTGCCCTTCCCATCTAACCTCTGCGATGACCACATCCCACCCAACACCTCTCCTGATCCCATTTGCTGCTCCCTCCCATGCCCATCTTTTCCCTTGCCATTCTCCACACCCCCACCCCAGTTCTTCAGGGGAAGGTCCCAGGTCATTTTGTCCAACCAGTTCAGTAGGTCAACGATCTTCCACCCAGTTCATGTGAATCAGGCAAGCCTCTGCTCAAAACTGCTGAGCCCAGTTAACAGTGGTGGAGAGAGATAAGGTTTGCAAGTACAAATGAGAAAAGTCTGCCAAGCGAGGCCTTGTTTTATCCAAGTATCAAAGAATTTATGAAAAATTAGATTTATGTTAACACACAGGGATCTGTCAAGAAAGTGTCAGCCAAAAGAGGTTATCCCACAAATAGCCAGGAAAAAAAAAAAAATCACAGGAAAAAAAGCAGACCAAAATAAAGATTAGCAGATGCTCACTGGGGGGTTGGGGGAAAACCCAAAACCAAATGAAAACAACAGTAATTGGCACAGCCCAAATGGCACTTTAAGATCAAAGAGCTGCCATTTCCAGAACTAGATAGGAAAGCCTTTTTGGTCAAACTGCTTCCTGCGCCATGAAAGAGGCAACACTTAATGCTCAGCTGAGCAGTCAACTAGCAGCGTTAGGTTCATTTTAGCTTTTGATATGTAACATTAACAGCAGGCAAGAACCTAGTTGGAAAAACCTATCGTTTTCAAAGTTATGCTTATTCCTGTTTCCTTAATACAACTCGGCGTGGCATGTCAAACCCCACATGCAGGCATACGTCTCATTCTGAGACAAGCGTGCACTGAACAGGTTATGGCTCAGGATCCTGAAAGCCATAAGACACAAAGTCATCCTTTACATTCTCTCTTAACAGGGGACCTGACAAACCCTTCCCCTTTGAACTAACTTTTGTTGAAACATTAAACCTTCAGTTTCACAGTGTTTTACTTCCATCCCCTCACTGCTCCTTCGCTGTCCCACATAAATACCACGTCATAACCTCCCCACTGTAAGAAAGTGAGATTTTTCTTGTTTAATTCTGATCCGATACAATCCAAGCAGTGCCGGCTGGAAAGCAGTGCCTGTTCAGTAGCGTGCTGGAAAACCTACAGAATAACTCTCCTTCAAGAGCACAGATCTTCGAGGACCACGTTCCACTTACTGGGAAGAAAGCAAGACAAAACAATACAAAACAAAGTCCAAGCTCAGTTGGTAACCTCTCCGTTCCCGATACAAACAAAACATTCAATTTTAGCAAAACAAGTGCAAAAGTACTAAGACTAAAGAACAACAAACAAGACAGACACTTAAGGAATGAAGCATCTCCATCACATTTGGATGCTAGCTTTCTGATCTATTTAGCTGTGTTCTTAGAAACCCCTAGAACTCAGCAGCATGGAGCAAAAGTAGCCAAAATGATCTTGACTTTTTTCCCCCTGCAGCTTTCTCTTTCCCCCCTGCCAAAGCATTCAAGAAAAGGCCAGTCAGTAGGTCCCCAGCCTCCTGTTACTGAAAAAACCTGGCATCTTCACTAACCTCTGATGTTGGGCATAATAAATTACAGAAGTTATATATATCCCTCAGATGAAACTGCTGGACTGCTTACCACCACTACAGCACCAAACTAGTGCTCCGTAGCAGTCAACAGCAGGGGAACACGCAGGCTGCCTGCACCATTCGGCTGCACTGGCAGCTTTCATACCCCAGGGTTAGGAGGGACAAGCTTAGCTACCTGGTACGTGCGAGAGCTGCGCTTACACATTTATTATTTTCATAGAAGGTCTTAGACAGACAGCAGTATCACTTAAAAGTTCACTGTAACATCTGTTTCCTAACACTCGGTTTCAGACTTGACAAATAATGCTTTACGTTTTGAAGTGAACTGCTTCGGTCCTACCCAGGTAGCACTTCATAACGTTCAGAAATGAACACAGGAAGTTTTACTTCTAATACTGACCATCCAGATTTGTATTTTCATAGAGATCTCAAACTTTGACACTTTTTACAGCCCTAAACAATTGTGTCAATCAGAAAACTGTAGACAAATAGCATCGATCATTTGTAGCAGATTTACATCTCAGGCTGTGCGATAGTGAACCCCATACCACTGTAAAAGTGATGCTGAAAATAATCTAAAACATATACTGCTTCTGCAGTTCTAATTTTAGGATCACCTCCTGCCTCAAGACTAAAGTTTCCATAGCCAGAGAAGTAAAATTTGTGACAGACAGCTACTACCTTATTCTTGGACTATACACTTCTATTCATGTCTGCAAATTCAAAAGATTAAACACTTCCCTACTTCAAGGCCAGTTCTGACATCAACTCACAATTAAGGCTGGTTACTCAGCACTGGTGACATGATCACATACTAAAGATTCAAACAAACACAACCCTTATTCCCAAGCAGATTTATTTAGCTTAGGCATTTTTGCCTGGCTTATGAGAGTCCTTGGAGAGTTTAGCTCCTCCTCCATTAACGAGTATGGGAGGGTTGAGAGATTTCTGTAACATCTTCTCACAAAAACGAATTTTAATTTCTCCTAGATGGCAAACATAACCTCTCCCACTGCTGTACTGCACAGCAGTCTCATCGGGGATCCAGGGGCTGACTGTCCCATTCCGTTTCTGTCACAGCTGCACCCTGTGGTGCTGTGCAGGACCACGCAAGTTTAACGATTCCGTTTCTGAAGGTTTCCTCAGTCTGCTGCAGCCAGTTCCCTCCGCCAGCCAACACCTTTTTCTGCTGTTCAAGATGAGGATGGAGGAACAGTAATAATTGTTACCGTACGCTTCGCGCGGTAAAGATGTCGGACTGGCTATCTTTTTTCAACCGCATATATTCCATATAGGTGTGGTTATAATCATGAAAGGGAATAGTAAAACGCGTGCTAATTACATAGCGTTTTGAACACCACGAGCTATCACGCTGTGCCGCACGCTTGCGGAGTGACGGGAACACAGGCAGCAGCACCCCGACCTGTGACCGGTTGTCTCGGTAACCCTCCGCAGCACCCACCTGCTCGCTCTTCCCAGGCCCGTCTGCTGACCCGGAGCGGCAGCGCGGAGCCAGCCTGCGTGACACCAGTGCCCCAGGTACCGCCGGCAGGAAGCTGAACTTCCCCACGAGCTCAAGGGAAGCGAACTGGGAACACGGAACGCGACAGGAACAGGGGTGCGACGAGCCCGCAGCTATAACCGAGCGCCCTGCATAGCTAGATTATAAATTACCCACCTCCAGCCACAGTGATGTCATATGCACACAATCTGTGATTCCCAATTCCCTCATTCCCCACACACCCTCTTCCTTCCTCCCGTACAAGAGGCTGGAAACGCCGCAGCTTTTGCGAACAGCCTGAACGTGACGACTGAGTCACGACCCCCCGGTT